AGGCCGCCGCCCTCCCCAGCGCAGGGCGGCCCAGCCCCGAGCCCCAGGGCGGCCCGGCGCACAGAAAGGAGGAGGCTGGCGGACGGCACGAGGCGCTGGGGCTGGCAGTGCGGGAGTCAAGGCAATTGGGCAGAGGAGGAGGAGGAGGAGGAGGAGGAGGAGAGGAGAAGGAGGAGGGGGAGGAGGAGGAGAGGAGGAGGAGGAGGAGAAGGAGGAGGAGGAAGGAGGAGAGGAGGAGAGGAGGGAGAAGGAGGAGGAGGAGGAGGACGAGGAGGAGGGGGGAGGAGGAGGGGAGGAGGAGGGGGAGGGGGGGGGGGGAGGGGGAGGGGGGGAGGGGGAGGGGTTCGAGCTCGGGGCTTTGAAAGCTCTTCACGTGTCCTGGCCCCCCTGGGGGCTCCCTGTCGCCGCGGCTGGGTCTGCCTCGGGAAGCTCGCCGGAGAGCTCCTCGTGACAGGTCCGGGGCCGATGCTGCTCACCGCTGGGCCCATGGCGACCTCCAGGCCCGGACTCGTCAAAAGACGACCGCGGGATGCAGAACCGGTCCGGGGGAAGGGGCGGAGAGCTCAGGGGGCTCATCTTACGGAGCAGGATGTGACAGCGGGTGTCTGGGGACTGCTCAGGCTCCCGCTTCCCTCCTCAGGCCCCCGGCGGGGGGGAGAGCGTGAGGGAGGGGGGAGTGAGGGAGGGGGAGCGGCAGGGGGGGTTCTCGGCCGTAGTTGCTGTTCAGACTGTGTTTCTTGTGCTTGTTTGGGCTTTTAGTGGCGGCCTCATCGCCGGGGCTTCCTCAACCCCCGAAGTTCTGGCCGGTGCGCTACTCAGGGAAAAGTCCAGGGGGCGACATCTAGGCCCTGGACCGAAGCCTCAAGCGTCCTGGGAAGATTGCGGTGGAGCGTCTTTACAACCATCGGTGCCTAGGGACAATCTCTGGGGCGCCGAGAAGCCGTCGAGAGACGGCCCTGGGAGAAGAAGGGGGTCGGAGAATCTTGGGCGACGGCGACTCGAAAGAAACCCTCGTCATGGGTCTGGGGAGGAGGGGGGAGGAGAATGAGGCGGGGGTGTTCAGAGAATGGTCGATCTGACTCGTTCTTTGGAGGGACGGGAGGAGGAGGGAAGGGGGAGAGGAGAAGCAGGAGGGTGGAGGAGGAGAAGCAGGAGGGTGCATGAGGGAGGGAGAGCAGGAGGGTGGCTGAGGGTGGAGGCAACGGGAGGAGGAAGAGATGGAGGGGGTAGAGGGGGACGGAGGAGGAAGGAAGAGGGGAGGGAGGAGGCATGAGCATCACAGAGGCCTGTGCCTTCCTGTCCATTCTCGCCAGGGCCCCCCGAAAATCAGCTCTGGACCCCTCGTGGGCACCCCCCCGGACGAGCTGGTCCGAGCCGCGCCCAGCCGCGGCCTCGGGCCAACCTCCCAGGAGGCCCAGACATGATCCGCCTCCGTGTCCTTTGGCCACGGAGTGGGCGTGCCCCCAGGTCCTTTGCCTGATCTTTTGAGCCTCCCTCCTCATTCCTGGGGATTCTGTCAGGGATCCGTACCACTCGCTCCCCCAAATCTCGCGGGCTTCTCGCGTCGTGCCGCGCCTTGTCGCGTGACTTCTTTTCGGAGCCAAGAGGGCCCCGAGACGGGCCCAGAGGGCCCCAAAGGCCCCGAAGACGGTCCAAGTCCTGAAGTCGCCGAAAGATCGATTCAAAACGCCCAAGATGACCTCAAGATGACCAAAGATGGCCCAAGAGGGCCCCAAGACGTCCTAATACGCCTCCAAGCTCCAAGAGACCTCCTAAGAGGGCCCCAAAGGGGCAACAATCATTGATTTTCCTTTAGTTTTCGATGGATTCTGGCGTTCTCGCCTTTTCTGCTCTCCGACGCTCCGAGACGACCCCGAGAAGCCCATCAAGACCACCCCAAGACAGCCCCAAAGGGCCTCCACGACGGCCCAAGAGAGGCCCAAGACGGCCCTGAAAGGGGCGCGTGAGAGGGAACACGTACCGAACGTCCGAGCTTTCCGCCGCAAGAAATACCCAGGAAGCCCCCAAAGGCGCCCAAGAGGCCCCAAGAGTTCCCCCAGAGGCCCCGAAGAGGCCCCAGGAGGCCCAGAAGAGGCCCAAAAGATGCCCCAAAATGGCTCTCGAGAGGCCCCCCGCGGGATCCCAACGAACATCCAGTAGGCTTCAGACCCACAACCCAGTAACCCAAGCACGGTGGCGGGATTGGCCGAAGGCCAATAAATCCGCCGCCCCCTGTCGATTCATCAAAGGGGTGCCTGACGTGCTGAATCCTTTCGGTTTTGGTTTTGGCCCTTTTTCCAAAAGAACTCCCCCTGGCGTTTCGGCCCGTCCCGCCGGCCGCCCCCCAAGACCCGCGCACACGCCATCGCCCAATCCCATTTCTTCCTCCAAGACGGCCCAACATGGCCTCCAGGATGGTCACATTGGCCCAAGATGGCCTCCAAGATGGTCCAATATGGCCTCCAAGTCCACCCAAGATGGTCCAAGACGGCCTCCGAGACGGCCCAAGAGGGTCCAATATACCTCCAAGTTCGCCCTCGAAGCTTCCAAGACGGCCCAACACGGCCCAAGAGGCCTCCAAGAGGTTCTCCATGAGGGCCCGGAGAGGCCAACATCGTCCACTTCACGATGGTTTTGGAAGGATTTGTTTTTGTTTGTCTTTTCGGCTTCCCGACGCTCCAAGACAGCCCAGGGGGCTTGCAAAAACGCCCCAAGACGGCCCAAGAGGCCTCCAGGAGCGCCGCAAGACGGCCCATGACGGCCCCAAGACGGCCGCAAGAGGGCCCAAACACGGCCCAAGAGGCCTCCAAGACGCCCAAGATTAGGAGCCGGAGAAAACACACAAAGGAATTTCACACAAAGGGTGTTGGAACCACCAACGGTGCAACGCATGTGCACACATGCGACTGGATCCCCAGCGATCCGAACCAGGGTTGATGCACGGCCGCGCTCTAGGATGCAGTTGACATGTACGGTGTGGCAAGGCTGTCGGCGGCGACGAGATCCCCAAATCCGCTACCAACTAACATTCCATGGTGGTTTGGCACAGCCAAACCACCGTTCAACGTCAGTTTGTTCATCCGATGACAGCAGCACGCGTCGCGGCAGCAGCAGAACGCAGTAGCGCGCGCGGGCATGCAGGGTCGGCGATGTGGCTGGCCAGCTGCCAGCGCGATTTCGGGAAAAGAGCAGAAATCCACGCAGGATCGTTTTGGGCGTGGTATCCGGCGCAACTGCATCGCACTGCCAGGCGCCGCGGCCTTGTGATTGTAGCGCCAGGCCGCGCGCGCTCCTCGAGGCGGGAAAGCAAGCTCTACACAAAAGAATCCCGCGTGCTCTTGTGTGGGGGCGGCGAAAACGATCGTACACAAAAGAAATTCCTTTGTGTGCCCCCCGCGCTGGCAGTTTAACCAGACCGTACACAAAGGAATTACGCGAGACTTCGTGGCACACAAAAGAATTACAGCAACGCCCGTTGGGTTGCGCTCTTCGCGCGCGGCGACAGCTCCGAGCTGGAAAGAAAGGGGGGGCGGGGCAAGGCAAAGCAGGGGAAGAGGAAAAAGAAGAGGAGGGCGAGAAAGAAGCGAAGGAAGCATCGGAAGGAAGCCAGGATGCACGCAAGCGAAGCTAACGCTGCGCGCCGAGATAGTTGTTCGTTCGTTCGGTTGGCCGTGCGGCAGATGAGTAGAAAAAAGGACTGTTTGCCGCCTATCGAATGGACTTTTCGGGAATGAGACTCGCGCTCTCTTCCCAACCCCCTTTCCCACGCCCCGTTGCGAGCGCGCGACGATTTATTCCGGCCCGCGGGCAGAGGACTGCCAGTTGCTGGTGAGCGGTCTTTCCACCCGTCACGCGCTCCGAACACATGCGACCAGCTAGACGCACTTGCCACGCAAACCGCCAGCTCCAAAGACCGACGCCACACCGATCCCCGCGTCCGTGCCAGGCACCCTCTCAACGACGCCCCCTTCCGGCGTAAAACCAATAAAACCCTTTGCGTCCATGTGTTTTTTCCTGTCTTGGCCTCCAAGACGGCACCGAGGCGCCCCCAGAGGGCCCCAAGTCGGTTCAGAGAGGCCCCCAAGACTGACCGAAAGGGTCAAAATCGCCTCCAGACGGCCACGATGACCTTCAAGATGCCCACGTGTTCCCCAAATGCTTTCCAAACCGATTCGGGGAACACATGGTCCGATAGCTTGGCAGGTCTGGCCTCAACGTTCGGCCACATAGGCGCTTCCACAAAGGCAGGGGGCGGCGGTGATTCGCCGTAGGCGTCTTCGATAGTAAAACAGTGGACCTATCAGAAGCCGAATTCCGTGCGCTCCCGCGCGTGCGGATGGGGCGACGGCGACGACGAGGACGGCGGTGGCGACGACTGCCCGCGACACCGGCGGCGACCAAACGACGGCGTCGACTACGACCACGACCCCGACGACGACCGCGACAAACAGAAGCGGCGCCGGCGGCGACTACGACCACGACTGCCACGACAGCTGGGAGGACAAAGCAGCACCGATGCCTCTGCTACTCCCCAGGCCTCTCCAGAGGCGCCTCCTGACCAGAGCCTCGAGCAGAGGGCCCTCCAGGACGAGCAGCGGTAACTATATCGGTATACCCCTCCCATCCGTGCAGAGAGCCTGGACGACGACGCCGACGACCAGCCGGCGCCCAAGGCAGGCCGCGCCGGTGCCCACCACGACCACGACATCGACGCCTCGACGACGACCGCGCCGATCGAGAGCGGCGCCGGCGGCGACTGTGCCCACGACCGCGCCGACGACCGCGCCAACAGCCCAAACAGGGGTTGCGGGCGGGGAGGAGGAGGAGGAGGAGGAGGAGGAGGAGGAGGAGGAGGAATTCGCTGATATCCACGGGGTAAGGAGGAGGAGGAGGAGGAGGAGGAGGAGGAGGAGGAGGAGGAGGACGAGGAGGAGGGGGAGGGGGAGGAGAAGGAGGAGGAGGAGGAGGAGGGATGGGGATGGGGCGCTCGGCCGGCGCTCCTTGCCCTTGCCGCCCTTGCCGCTCGGGCTCGCCCGGCCCCCCTCGCCGGGCCGGGCCGGCTTGGCGCCACGGCCCGCCTCGCGCTCCCAGCTGGGCATCCACCTCTCGGGGGCGCGGCGGGGGCGGAGACGACGGCAACGACGGGGGCTGCGACGACGACGACGACGGCCAGGGGTCAGAGAGGGAGCAGGCCGTACCCATACCTCTGCCCTTCGGCCGCTTGTTCCCCTTTTCGGGGGCCTCCTGGGAGGCCCTCGTCGCCACCGCCGGATTCGCCTCGAGATTCTGGCCCGTTCGCAGCCCAGGAGAGGTCCGGGGACTTGCGGCATCGGTACCTGTCGGTTTCCCAAATGGTAGCGACGGCGGTGACGGCGACGACGAAGAAAACGACGACGACGACGGCGGCGGTGGCAAGGGCAAAGACGACGACGACGACGGCAAAGGCGGCGGCAGCGGCGGCGACGGCGCGATGGCGTCGACGCCAATCGCCGTCGCCCGCGCCGCTGCTTGAAGCGGCGATGGGGTCGTTGTGGTCGTGATCGTGGTCGTCGTGGTCGTGGTCGGGGCCCCCGGAAAATTGACCCCCGATCCTAATCAGGCGGGCGTTATGACCTGACTTCCGCAAGGAATCTGGCTGTGGCAAAAGAGAGAAGATGCCTGCAGGCACCGACCAGGCCAGAAGCGTTCGAACACCTCAATCCTCGAACCCCAGTCCATGAGCCTGGTGAAACCAAAAGGTACCGATACCGCTAACCCCTGGACCTTTCCCGCAGTGCGTCCTGACCAGAAGTTCGAGGCGAATCCAGCGGTGGCGACAAGGGCCTCCCAGGAGGCCCCGCAAAAGGGGAAAAACGGCCGAAGGGCAGAGGTATGGGTACCTGTTCCTCCCCTGCCCTTCATCCTCAGAGAACAGATTCGCCCCCTGAAATTTGCTTCTTGTGCTGCCCTGCCGCCACCGCTCACTGGCCCGCGCTCGCTCTCGAGGCGCCTCCGCCGTGGCCCGCTCCTCAGAGGAGGCCGCAAAAGCGCGCGCGGCCCTTTCCCCACAGACGAGCGGCGAGCACACCCGTGGAAGGAGGAGGAGGAGGAGGAGGAGGAGGAGGAGGAGGAGGAGGGGGAGGAGGAGGAGGAGGAGGAGGAGGAGGAGGAGGAGGAAGAGGAGGAGGAGGAGGAGGAGGGGGAGGAGCAGGCGTACGCAATCCCACGGACACCTTCCGCGCGAGGTGCCCAGCTGGAGCCGCCCCGTCTGCACAGAGCGAGCCGCGGCCGAGAGGCCCGGGCCGCGGGGGGCCCCGCGGGCATGGCGGTGCCCCCCGCGCGCACGATCGGCGGCGCCCCGCCCCGGAGGCACCGAGGGAGGCACGCATCACTGGGCGCAGACCCCTGACCTTCCAGAGAGCTATGTTTTAGCACCGGAGGCCTAAAAACCTAAAAAAGACTGAGCGAAACAGCCTAAGACCAAGACGTAGAATAGCTCGAGGATCGGTTTTCAGGTCGGGTGCTATGTTTTAGCCCTCCTGGAAGGTCAGGGACTCCAGGACTTCCTAACCGAATGCCGCAGATAATAAAGTACCCCCCCCCCTTAAGTCGTTAGAGTTTTTTATCGTCGGCCTAGAAGGGTTTCAAATATAGGCGGAGGGCGCGGAGGCCGAACTTCATTATCACTGGGAAAGTTCGCCATCGAGGTTACTTCCTTCTTGTGTTGAGATAACAACATCAAGCGAAGCGAACACGTTTTTTTTTTTCAGGAAGTCTCAAGCGAAACAACCAATATCGCAAGGACGTCTCAAGCGAAACAAGCAGTGCTTAAGGAATCCTGTCCTGGTTCTCCTCCTCCTGCTCCTCCTCCCTCCTCCTCCCTCCTCCCTCTTCCTTCCTCTCTCTCTCTCTTTCTCTCGTTTTCTTTGTGTTGCTTTCTGTTTCTCTCTCTCTCTCTCTCTGTCTTTCTTTCTCCTCCTCCCTCTGGCGCCCTGAACTTGTTTATCGCTGGGGGTGATTATCCTGGGAAAACTAAGCACATGAGCTACCCTACACGAGCAGATGAAAATTATATTTTTCATTAAGCGTTTACAAATTGAATCAAATAAGTTTTCAACTTTGGATTTTTGCTTCTACCTCCTGCTCTGCTTCTCCTGCTCTTCCTCCTTCTCATCCTTCTCCTCTTCCTTTTCTTCTTTCTTTATATGTCTCTTTCTATGTATTTTTCTTCTTGTCTCCCTGGCCCCCTGAACAGGTTTATCGCTGGGGTTGATTATCCTGGGAAAACTAAGCACATGAGCTACCCCTACACGAGCAGATGAAACTTTTATTTTTCATTAAGCGCTTACAAATTAGATCTAATAAGTTTTGAACTTTGGATTTTTGCTTCCTCGTTCTTCTCTCCTCCTCTTGCTCTTTCTCCTCCTTCTCATCCTCTTCCTCCTCTACCTCCTCTTCCTCTTCTTCTATGTTTACGTATTAATTTCTTTTTATTTCTCAAGCGAAACGAGAGAGTTGTCGAGGATGCCTCAAGCGAAAAAAGCAATGATTTCAAGGATGTCTCAAGCGAAACGAGAGATTTGTCGAGGATGCCTGAAGCGAAACAAGCAATGATTTCAAGGATGTCTCAAGCGAAACAAGCAATAATTTGAAGATGTCTCAAGCGAAACAGACAAATATTTCGAGGATGCCTCAAGCGAAACATCAAATCCGTTGAGGATGTCTCAACCGAGACAAATCATTGTTGAGGATGTCTCATAGAGGACCAAAGACCAAGGATCCTCAAGATATCTTTGGTTTTTTCCTCTTGATATCTCTTTTATGCTGGCTCTGGCGGGCAACTTTTATTATCTCCCCGAAAACCCCGAGCTTTATGATCCCTGTGTTTATTATCCGCGGCATTCGATTAAGGAGTCGAACTCTACACACCGACGCGTTTTCCAGCCCAGTATTGAAATTTTTGCACTGGAGAGCGAGTCCTGGTGTATACGGGAGCCTGGTGTATACATCTTTTGTGTTGTTGTCCTGGGACATCGCGGAAAAAAAAGGTATACACCACACCACCCCGGCGTCGCCCTCGACCCTCAAGAAGTCCTGGGATTGAAAAACCGCTCGCCCAGTTTCCGATGTTGCCCGATATCAGTGCTGGCACCAAATTGGTCCTGGCGGAAGTTGAAAGAATTGGCGAAAGTTTCCCGCCGGTGTTGGTAGCAGGCTGAGTTCCCGGGTTCTGGGTTCCGGGTTCCAAGGTTCCCGGTTACTGGTTCCGGGGCGATTTCGGTGGGTTCTGGATTCCCGGGCTCCAGGGTTCCTGGTCGATCTCCCCAGCGAAAGCCATCCACTGATTGGGTTTTTTCTCTGGTGTGTTCCACACCCCTTATTGATGTTCGTCTTCCCCTCCATGTCCACATGTCTCCTGATGCTCCAGGAAAAACCGACCTTCAGCTGTGCCTGGGCCGATTCTTTCCTCCCAACACGTCTTGGCGCGGCATGCCCCATGCAGGAGAACCCAACATCGAATCGACAAAACAGATCGGCGCTCGAGATGGATCGGATCGGAGGAAATCGGCAGCCGAGACGGAAAGAATCGAATCGGCAGAGATCGGCAGGCCAACACGCCTCCCATCGGAACTGCAATCGGAATCCCAAGTCGAGTAACGACGGAATCGGAACCGCATCGAACCACATCGAAGCGACATCGAATCGAAACCGAATCGGAGCGAACTCGAATCGACACGGAATCGGATCGAAATCGACATCGAGGCGGCGGAACCGAAGCGGGCCCTGCCCGTGTCGCGCCACCGACGGCACGGGCGAGGCACGCGGGAGCCCGCTGGAGAGGCTGTCGGCCCCTGGGGCCGCCGAGCCAGACCGCGGTGGGGGGGAGGGGGGGGGCGTCCAGACCGTGGGGGGGGCGTCTGAAGGCCCCATCGAAGAACCATCATCAGCATCAGCATCATCATCATCATCATCATCATCATCATCATCATCATCATCATCATCATCATCATCAGCATCAGCAGCAGCAGCATCATCATCATCATCAGCATCAGCAGCAGCATCAACATCATCAGCAGCATCATCAACAGCATCAACATCATCACCATAATCATCAGCAGCATCAGCATCATCACCATCATCATCAGCATCATCAGCATCATCATCACCATCACCATCGTTATCCTCATAATCAGCATCAGCATCATCATCATCGTCATAATCGTCATCATCATCATCATCAGCAGCAGCTTCAACATCAGCATCATCATTCTTATGGTCGAGACACCCTGGCGTCCACGCCGCGAAGCGATCACGACGTCGGGGGTGCAGGGAGAGGTATGTGTTCCCCCCTCCCCGATCTCCACTCGAGCAGCAGACTGCAGGGGGGGGGCTGGAAGATGAGCAGAGGGGCCCCAGTGCAGTCGTGGCCAGCCGCATGGACGCAATGCAAGGCCACAAGGCTCGTGGGCGTCATGGCTGCAAAGATGTGCCAGCGGAAATGAGATGGCCGAGGCCGATACTGGGCAAGGTTGCAAGGTGTCCGTGGCGGAGGCCAGGCGCAAAGTGCACCCGGCAGGTGGAACCCTAAGTCGGGGTCCCCCTCGAACAACGAGGATGACTCAGCGCCAGATGGCCCCTTATCCCAACCGCAGGCGAGATACCGATGACCCTCCAGACCCGAAGACCCCGGCGGGCAACCGCGGCGCACGGCCAGCGCAGACGTCGCCGAGCCCTGTCGGGACCTCTCGGAGGGGCTCTTGCTTGGCGTGTCGCGTCGGCGGCCCCGGCGACACACTGTGCCTCGCAAGCGGATCGCGTGTCGCTCCGCTCTTCTGTCCGGGAGCCTGGGAGAGGTTCGGTGCGTTGAATCCCGCAAGGGGGGAGCGTGGACAGCGCGACTCGCCGAAGCGTGGCGGGTCGGGAATTGGCGGAGCGACCGACACGCGGAGCCAGGCCGACACCGTGCTCCGAGGCACGGGCTGGAGGGCCCTCGGGTCCCGCAGAACTCCGCGCATCGAGGAGTCGAGGCACTCGTTTGGGGACCCATGCTCGAGACTGGGCGCTCCAGGGCGCTCCCCGCGTGACTTGTCCAGGATGGATGGGATCGTTGGGGATAAAAACAACCTGGCGCAACCACAGTTCGTGGGCCTCGACCATTCGAAAGCAAGACACTGCGATGCAATGCAAGGCGAAGGACAGCACATGCGTACCGTGCGGCAGAAATGCGAAGCAACACGGCGCAGTACCGAGCTACTGAAAGCAAAGCGAAGCGACCTCTCACATGGAGCGAAAAGAAGCACGAGGCAAAAGTTGGTGGAGGTGCATGGGGGGAACATGTGCGAGCAGAACTTCTGTCCATATCCATTGCAGTATGGAGTTCCGGGCTCCCTTCCCCAGAAACCCGAGGCGCACTGGATATGGATAAACTTGTCCCCTAGAGGCTCGATTTTTATCCATGTCCAGTGCACCTCGGTCTTGTGGCGCCCCTTCCAACAAAAATCGAAGGCGCACTGGATATGGATATAAATCTTGCCCGCAAAATAGTGGGTGGAGGTTGAGGGGCTACCATCACGGGGGACTGGTTCAGGGGGGGGGGATCGACCTGGCATCGGCGGTACATCGCCCACAGATCAGCCTTAGGCTCAGGTCGGGCATGTCCTCCCACAGGCAGATGTTGGAGGAAACTTAGAAAGACTCAGATAAAAACCGCCCCGAGACTACGTCTTCACAATTCTTGCAGACTCTTCCTGCAGAGGGACATTCCCGACTAAACCTTCGGCCCCCGGCCCACGAGAACGAATCCACGCGCTCCCAGGCCGGGCGGGCCAGCGCGCCCCCCCTCGGCGACCAGGGTGCGATTTGGGGCTGATGCACCCCGCCCCCGGAGCCCAGGCCTTCCCAGCGCTGCTGCCTTGGGGGCGAAGGTGCAGGCGGACGACCGGCGTGAAAGCATGCGGCTCTGCCGAGGGAGCCACCTCCTGGACCCCGCTCCTCCCTCCTCCCCCCTCCTCCCTCCTCCCCCCTCCTCCCTCCCCCTCCCTCCTCCTCCCTCCCCCTCCCTCCCCCTCCCTCCTCCGCCCTCCTCCGCCCTCCTCCGCCCTCCTCCGCCCTCCTCCGCCCTCCTCCGCCGGGCACTCCCCCTGGACCCGCGCGGCGTCCCGCGCCTCTCTCCTCGGCCTCGAGGGGCCCCTCCGAGGGCCCTCGGAGCCCGCGGGGGGCGGAACGGAAAGCAGGACCTCTCGCCTCACGGCGAGGCGGACGAGGAAGAGAAGGCGGTGGAGGGAAGCTCAGCTCGTCGCCGACGTCGTCGACGTCGTCGGAGTCGTCGTCGTGGTGGAGGGTCGACTCGGGGCGATCGTCGGGTGGAGGGTCGATTGGGGGCGATGGGGTGGCGATCCGTGGGCGATCGAGCGCTGCCCCCTAAGGTGGCAGAGAAAGGCTCGTGCGCCCCCCCCCCCGCCCGTCCTCTGAAGGGCGGGAGGGCCTCCGGGGGCCCCGCGCGCAGAGAAACGGCAGGAGGCGGAGGAGGCGGAGGAGGAGGAGGAGGAGGAAAAGGAGTGACGGAGAAGCACGAGCAGGAGGAAGAGGTGGACGGGAAGGAGGAAAAAGTCCAGTGCAGACCGAAGACTCACCAACGGTATTGAAATGCACCCTCCCTCCAAGACCCCTCTTCAGAGGCCCCTGCAAGGGGCCATTTCCACTGAGAGACTTGCCCCGTTTGGGGACGACCGTGTGAACATCCTGCTACAGCGTGTCAAGACGCCATCCTCAGAACTTCAGCGCCATGAGATAAGCTGACGGTTACGTCTGGGCGGTCCTGAATCGTGCCAGGGCACCATTCCTGGCAGGAGAGTCCAGAGTCGAATCGATAAGTCGGATCGGCGATCGACAAGAATCGGGTCGGCGGAAATCGGCAGCCGAGTTGGGAGACGTCGAATCGGCGGAAATCGGCAGGCGAGTATGCCTCCGAAAAAGAATTGGAATCCAGATCGGAATCCGAAGTCGAATCAGATCGGAACCAGAGGCCATCGAAAAATCGAATCGAATCGAACCAGAGGAATCGACATGAGCCCTGGGAAAAAGTGGAGGAGGGAACTTCAGGCGGCTCGTCAGACCTAACTAGAGGCCTCCTAGATGGTCGGAATAGATGGGGTCGAAGGATGGCGTCGCATCGATGATACATCGGCGATGTATCGGCGATGCACCGGCGATGCATCGCCGACGCCAGCGACGCATCGGCGACGTCGGCGTGGACATAAACGGGCTCAGCATCGAGCCGCATCGCCGATGCACAGGCGATGCTGCGCGATCCTCCGACCCAATCTACTCGGACCCCACCTAGGAGTCCTAGACTTCCCCCCCCCCCCACGGCACTCCTCCCGCCGATCCCACGTCGGCGACCAAGGAGGCTCCCACCGCTCCCGCTTGGGCATCTCGCGCCGCGGCCGCTCGTCCTTCAAGGGGGCGGCGCGTCGTCGTCGTCGTCGTCGTCGTCATCGTCTTTGTCGTCGTCGTCGTCTTTGTCGTCGTCGTCTTTGTCGTCGTCGTCTTTGCCGTCGTCGGGGTCGTCCTCTTCGTCGTCGTCGTCGTCGCCGTCGTCTTCGTCGTCGTCGTCGTCGTCGTCGTCGTCGTCGTCTTTGTCGTCGTCGTCCTCTTCGTCTTCGTCGTCTTTGCCGTCGTCGGCGTCGGCGTCTTCGTCTCCGTCGCCGTCGTCGGAGACAGGGGCTGGAGGGGACGAGCCCAGGCCCTCGCGCCGTGCAACAGAAAGCACTGCGGGCATGTCGTCGCTTCTGCTGCTCGGCCACTCCAGGGGACCCCCCGAGCGGGCAGCGGGACAAGATCAGCAAAATAAAGCCGGTGCCCGGGGAGCGGGCCCAGACCTCCGAGGGGCCACGCCTGCAACAAAAAAGACGACGTCGGGTTCTTTATGCGGGCGGTCGACGAGGGGTTGCAGACTCGGGCGGAGGTGGGCCTGTGTGGATCGGAGGCAAAGAAGGAGGAGACGTCGAGGGCATGTATACGTGGTAGATAGGGGGAGAGAGGGTTCAGGCTCGGGCGGAGGTGGGCTCGTGTGGATCGGAGGCGAGGAGGCGGAGGAGGAGGAGAAGGGGGAGGAGGAGGAGGAGGAGGAGGAGGAGGAGGAGGAGGAGGAGGAGGAGGAGGAGGAGGGGGCGAGGGGCGAGGAGGAGCGTGGAGGAGGCTGAATGAGGTGGTGGGGGACGGAGGAAGGCGAGGAGGAGGAGGAGAGGGAGAGAGGGGGGCGAGGGGAGGCTCGTGGAGGAGGTCGAGGGGGGGGGGGCGGCGGCGAGGAGCAGGGAAGGGGGAAGGGAGGAGATTGGAGGCCTGGACATTGGCACCAACACCAGCACAGGGGCTTGCCTCCACATGGGGAAGGTGATCCTAGGTTTCGGTGTTGGTGGTGATGTTTCGGCCACCCCGGAAGCCAGGATGTTACCACCATCGCCGAGATCGGGATCTTCTTCCCGCGGTGGAGGCACACCACCACCGATCTTGGTGTTGGTGTCAACCTCCAGGCCTGCGAGGAGAGGAGGGGGGCGGAGGTGAAGGAGCCGGTGGAGGAGCCGCTGGCGGATAGGCTGCGGGGGAGGATGAGAGGGAAGGCGGGTCGCCGCGATCCTTGGGCCCACAGCGTCGGGGGAGGGGCGAGGAGGGATGCAGAGAGCGTGGGGGGAGGGGCAGGAAGGGAGGAGGCGACGGAGGAGGACGAGGACGGCGAGAAGTCGTCGCCAGCCTTCTCACTCCTCCGGGCTCCCCTCTCCTGGCCATCTCCCTCCCCCTTCCCCTCCCCCACCCCCCACGCCCCCCTATCTGACCCCTCCCTCCCTCTCACCGACCTGGGGCCCTCTTCCCCCCCTCATTGATCCCCACCCCCTCGTATCGCGCGAGCTCTTCCGACATCCAGATGTTCCCTCTCACCGTGGGAGGAAGGAGGAGGAGGAGGAGAGGGAAGAGGAGGAGCAGGAAGAGGAGGAAGAGGAGAAGGAGGAGGACGAGGAGGAGGAGAAGGAGCCCTTCCCAAATGCAGCCTGGCATGCTCTGGGACCCAGCTGGGGGAAAGAGGAACGAACGAACGAACGAACGACGGTGCTCTAGACTACTTGCACCTAGGATTGTGGTAAGAGGAGTTGGAGGAGGAGGATCGAAACACAACCGCGGTGAGGAGCGACACGTCCTAAAACCGCGAGGCCTGCACTGGCCCGATGCGGGCCAAATCTTGGGTGGGTGTGGGCTCTCTCTCTCGACCAGGCCAGGCTCCGCTCCCAGGCAGGATCCGGCCCCGAACCCCAGCCTGTGAAGCCTTGGCACTTGTGGATGCACCGACTTCCCCAACCTCCCCCTACCCCTTCTCCCGAATGCTTGTTTTGCAGCCCAGGACCCTGCGAAACTACGGCAGGCGTGAGCCAGAGCAGCCGCAAGACATCGTAAAGAAGCTGGCCAGGAAACAACGGGGTATTTAGGTTCAGCTCGGGAGCAGGCACTGTCGCCTCGAGCTCCCTAGAGCCCTAGGAACAACAGTACCCTCCATCACCCTCCGTCGAGCACATCAGGTATTGAATGACGGCCCTGCCCCCCGCCCCCCCCCTGAGCTTCCGGGTCGAACGTACATGCTTGGCTGCTACGGAAGCAGGCCCCGCCACACACCCGTCGGCCGTGGTGCACCGTCTTTCTTTTTCCCTGCCTTCTCCCCCACTCCTCCACTTCCGCTCTCCCTGGGCCTCCTCCGACTCTGCGTCCTCCTCCCTCTCCCCGCCCTTCCCCCCGTCCTCGCCCACCTCCTCCGCCCCTCCGCCTCCTCCGTTCCCCCCCCCCCCCCCTCCCACCATCCATCCGCCTCCTCCTCCTCCCTCCGCCTCCTCCGTCCCCCCCCCCCCATCCATCCCGCCTCCTCCTCCCTGGGCCTCTGCCTCCCTCCCTCCCCCCCCTCCCCCTCCCCCTTTCGCTCCCCGAATCCGCGCCTTCGAGGCGGCGCGGTCGTCGCCCTCGGCCCGCCGTCGCTGCGGGGAGGGCTGCGCCTTCTTGGCCGCCGAGCCGTCCTGGGAGGGCCCGGGTGGAGGGTTGGGGGGCACCTCCCTCCAGGAGGCTCGGAGTTCGACGACCGAACTTTCCGGCGTGGGCCGCATCCAGGGGGGCCAGTTTCGCCCGTGCACCCTGCACACACTTGCTCCCCAGGCCGCCAAAGGTCTCGCCCTGCACCCGTGCACTCCTACACCCGAGGCCGCCAGAGCGTAGCCTGGAACCCTTGCGCCCTTACACCCTAGGCCGCGTGGCGCTAGGGTGCAGCCTTACACGCTTACAGTCTGCACCTTAGGCGGGGCCGCTCGGGTGTAGCCTTGCACCCTTGCCCCCTCATTCCCTCCACAGTGGAGGGTTCGGGGGAGGCGCGTAGGAGTTTCTAGGGACCTCCCTTGAACAGGAATACAATACAACCGCGTGAAAAATTATCCTGGCGAAGGTCCCAACCATACGCAGTTGTGGGCACCGTAGTTGTGAATATCTGCTTCGGTGAAGCTCCCTATGGGGCCACGAAGCGCTGCACTGGGCGGGGGGGAACACTGTACTGTGTGGGTGGTGTGCCGAATTCGGCTTCTGGAACGCATTCGGACGGTCCCACTGAGGGCTTCGGTGGAGCTCCCCATGGGGCCACGAAGCGCTCTACTGAGTGAGTGAAAATGCCAAATTGGATTTCCGGACGGTCCCACTGGGGGCTTCGGTGGAGCCCCCATATGTGGCCACGAAACGCCGCACTGCGCGAGTGAAAATGCCAAATCACATTTCCCGGACGCATACGGACGGTGGCACTGGGGCCTTGGGTGGAGCCCCCTATGGGACCACGAAGCGCTGCACTGGGTGGGTGGAAATGCCAAATTGGGCTTCCGGGACACAAGCGGACGGGGGCACTGGGGCCTTCGGTGGAGCTCCCTATGGGGCCACGAAGCGCTGTACTGGGTGGGCGGGACGCATGCGAGCGGTAGCGCTGGGACCTTCGGTGGGGCTCCCTATGGGGCCACGAAACGCTGTACTGGGTGTGAGGGACGCATGCGGACGGTAGCACTGGGACCTTCGGTGGGGCTCCCTATGAGGCCACGAAACGCTGTACTGGGTGGGTGAACGCAGGGAGGAGGGGGAGGAGGGCCACGAAACGCTGTACTGGGTGTACGGGACGCAGGCGGACGGTAGCACTGGGACCTTTGGTGGGGCTCCCTATGGGGCCACGAAGCGCTGTACTGGGTGGGTGAAACGCAGGGAGGCGGGGGAGGAGGGCCACGAAACGCTGTACTGGGTGTGCGGGACGCATGCGGTCGGTGGAGGAGGAGGGGGAAGAGGAGGAGAGAAGGAGAACGCGGGGACCGTCTCTTCAAAACGAGGACCCAACACCACAGGATGGTTGGGAAAATATGAGATTGAGAGGAGGGCGGGGACGGAATGTGGGGGGTTTGGGTTTTGTTGTGATGTCGGTTTTGGGGAGCGCCGCCTCCGCACGCGTAAACACATTAACATTCCGCCCCCCCACACGACTAACAAAACACGACAAAACATTATGCTAACGGAGTTCCCCACATGGGCGTTTTAATAAGGCGCGGGCTTAGTCAGGAGGAAGAGGAAGAGGCGGAGGTACGGGGGGAGGGGTCGACGAGGATGGCCGGGTGACGGGGGCGACGAAGACTGCAATTGGCGATGGCGATGTGCAGGCAAATGTTTTGGGGAACACCTCGCGTACACGACGCGGCCAAGATAGTGCAAATCGGAACGACAGCACAAGAGCGGGGGCCTTCGCGCGCGCAGTGCGGGCGGGCCACGCAGAAGGTATTTACATAGCGCACCTTCGACTGCAAGCGAGCCGCGGGCGCGGGCGTGGAGGCCGCGAGACATTGTGGCCTGAGCGGGGTGGCGCTGGGGTCCACGGTGTCCCGCGCCGAGCAGGAGGGGTCGAAGGGGCCGAAACCAAATAAATAGTATGGTATTCGTGTACCCTCCTCGCTCTGGCTGGGCCTCCCTGGAGGGGTGAGGGGGGCACGAGACCGGATAAGTAGCATGGTATTCGTCTACCAACCTCGCTCAGGCGGGGCCTCCCTGGAGGGGTGGGAGGGGCACGAAACTTGATAAATAGTATGGTTTTCGTATACCCTCCTCGCTCAGGCGGGACCTCCCTGCAGGGTTGGGAGGGGCACGGGACCTGATAAATAGTATGGTATTCGTATACCCTCCCTGGAGGGGTGGCAGGGGCCCCTCCTCGCTCAGGCGGGGCCTCCCTGGAGGGGAAGGAGGGGCACGAAACCTGATCAATAATATGGTTTGCGAATACCCTCCTCGCTCTGGTAAAGCCTCCCTGGAGAGGTGGGAGGGGCGCGAAACCTGATAAATAATATGGTTCGCGAATACTGTCCTCGCTCTGGCGGGGCCTCCCTGGAGGGGTGGGAGGGGCACGAAACCTAATACAAATATGGTTTGCGAATAATGTCCTCGCTCAGGCGGGGCCTCCCTGGAGCGGTGGGAGGGGCACGAAACCTAATAAATAGTATGGTTCGCGAATACTGTCCTCGCTCTGGCGGGGCCTCCCTGGAGGGGTGGGAGGGGCACGAAACCTGATAAATAATATGGTTCGCGAATACTGTCCTCGCTCTGGCGGGGCCTCCCTGGAGCGGTGGGAGGGGCACGAAACCTGATAAATAATATGGTTTGCGAATGCTGTCCTCGCTCAGGCGGGGCCTCCCTGGAGCGCTGGGAGGGGCACGAAACCTGATAAATAATATGGTTTGCGAATACTGTCCTCGCTCTGGCGGGGCCTCCCTGGAGGGGTGGGAGGGGCACGAAACCTGATAAATAATATGGTTTGCGAATACTGTCCTCGCTCTGGCGGGGCCTCCCTGGAGCGGTGGGAGGGGCACGAAACCTGATAAATAATATGGTTTGCGAATACTGTCCTCGCTCTGGCGGGGCCTCCCTGGAGCGGTGGGAGGGGCACGAAACCTGATAAATAATATGGTTTGCGAATACTGTCCTCGCTCTGGCGGGGCCTCCCTGGAGGGGTGGGAGGGGCACGAAACCTGATAAATATAGGGGTCCTCGCTCAGGCGGGGCCTCCCTGGAGCGGTGGGAGGGGCACGAAACCTGATAAATAATATGGTTTGCGAATACTGTCCTCGCTCTGGCGGGGCCTCCCTGGAGGGGTGGGAGGGGCACGAAACCTGATAAATAATATGGTTCGCGAATACTGTCCTCGCTCTGGCGGTGCCTCCCTGGAGCGGTGGGAGGGGCACGAAACCTGATAAATAATATGGTTTGCGAATACGGTCCTCGCTCTGGCGGGGCCTCCCTGGAGCGGTAGGTAAGTATTGTATGGTATTGTATGGTGTGGTAGGTATGCGGTGATGGTGTATGTATGGTTTCATACGTGCTTGCCTGACTCCGGTGGTCTGGTCTAGTATGGTATGGTATTGTACGGTATGGTATAGTATGGTATGGTAGGAATAGGGAGAGGGAGCGAGCGTGGTAGGTAGGTATTGTATGGTATTGTATGGTGTGGTAGGTATGCGGTGATGGTGTATATATGGTTTCCTAGGTGTGGTATGGTAGGTACGGTGGTCTGCTATAGTATGGTATGGTATTGTATGGTATGGTATGCGGTGATGGTGTATGTATGGTTTCCTAGGTGTGGTATGGTAGGTACGGTGGTCTGCTATAGTATGGTATGGTATTGTATGGTATGGTATAGTATGGTATGGTAGGAGTAGGAAGAGGGAGCGGTATTGTATGGTATGGTACAGTATGGTATGGTAGGAATAGGAAGAGGGAGCGGGAGGTGGGAAGGTGGGAAGGTGGGAAGGTGGGAAGGAGAGGGTGTCCTGGGAAAACAAGAACCCCACTCAGGATGTGGGGAAAAATCATCAAAACCCCTCCAAAGTGGGTTTGGGGAACAGGTGTTCGGGAGGTTACCTCCACCGCGCTTCCCCAACCCTGCATTGCCAGAAAACCCATATTGAAAACGAAACCCAAACCCACCCTGAAAGGAATCATTGGGGGGGTTCAAAGGTGGGTTCCCCTCGGACACCCCAGCCAGATGTTTGGTGTATTCCTAACAGCCTTTCGGGCTGCGGTGGTTTAGCCCTGTGCCCCTGAGATTCACAGGGTGGGGATACTACAGTTCGGTGTCCAGGGAGAATAATCAGTTTTCCTGGGGGAGAGGATCTTGAGGAGGATGCTGAGGATCATGATTATGATGATGATGCTGCTGCTGATGATGATGATGATGATGATGATAATAGTGGTGGTGGCGGTGGTGATGATGATGATGATGATGAGGAGGAGGAGGAGGAGGAGGAGGAGGAAGGGGGGGCCGTCTTGGAGCCCTCTTGGGGCCTCTTGGGCCTCTTGGGACCTCGTTTCGCTTGAGAAATCATCGCAACAATAATAAAAATGTGCGCTTCGCCTTTGAAATCCTCACCTCGCGAACTCGGCGAATCTTCGAAATTGCGCGTTTCAGCAGAGACATCCTCACACAAATGCTAAGAGTGATGATTCATGACAAGAAGATCCAATCTACGATTCGTACTTTCCCCTGTGATGATGAAGTTCGGCCCCGCCGCTCCCCGCCGCCGACCAAAACTGTCTTGGCTGGGGATAACCAACACTCAGGTCTTAAGGGGGGAGGCTACATTATCTGGGGCATGCGGTTAACGAATTCTTGCTTTCCTCTTCCCACATACCTTCCTTTCCGAAAACGAATCCCCCCTTCCCTAGTTCTTTGTTTTTTTGTTATTCAGGGCCAGTCGCGACGTGTCAGGGCGCCAAAGGCGTCCAAAATGACCCAAGAGGGCCGCCGATGTTCCAAGATGGGCTCCAAGATGGGCTCAGATAACCAAGGATGGTTCATGATAGCTTCCAGCATACCTCCAGGAAGCCCAGCGAGGGCCACAAAATGGTGCCAAGTGCTCTCGGAGCCCCTCGGAACCCCACAGGAGGCCCAAAGACCACAAGGAAATCACTGATGACTGCTTCTCGCCGTTTCGCTTCCGATGGCCTCAAGGTGGCCCCA